AACATGTTTTCTGTTCATGATTTCCACCCACAAATTTAATTTCTTTCACATGAATTTCTTCTTACTCTGTGGCCATGGAACACACACCTGTAATCCCAGATATTCAGGAGGCTGAGGCAAGATAAATTCAAAGTCAGTCTCAGTAATTTAGCAAGGCCCTAAGCAACTTAGTGAGACCTTGTCTCAAAATAAAATTAAACAAACAAATAAATAAATAAAGGGACTGGAGATGTGGTTCAGTGGTTGAATGCCCCTGGATTAAATCCCTAGCACCAAAAAAAAAATTTCTTCTTCTTCATTTACAATTTTATGGATAAATTTGTTATTATTGTAGGTCTTAGCAACCTCAGCCTTCAACAAACTTTTTACCTTTTCACTTAAAGGAAGCACTTTCAGTTTCTCTTTAACATTTTCAGATTGCCAACATTTTCAAATTACCAACATTACTACTCTTGTGCTTTGGGGCCATTATTAAGTAAAATGAGAATTACTTGAAAATGAGCCCTGTGATACTATGACAGTTGATCTGATAACTGAGATGGCTAATAGGTGACTAACAGAGCATACAACCTGGATACATTGGACTTATGTCACTGATGCAGTGGATTAGGATAGTGTAAGATTTCATTATGCTACTCAGAATCTGAGGTACAATCTAAAATTTATGAATAGCTTATTTCTAGATTTTCCACCTACTCTTTCTGAACCTTGGTTGATCACAGGAAACAAAAACTTCACAAAGCAAGACTATAGATGGTGCAGGGGGAAACTACTGTAGCTTACAAGTTATGCATTTTTATCCCATTCTTAGTATATAGAGGAAGAAAAATTGAGGCTGGGGATGCTAAGTAATTAGTGCAAAAGTTTCCACAGGTAGAAATGGCAGAATGAGGATCTGAATTCAGGTTTCTCTGACTAAAAAGCCTTTCCCTGATCACTTTACCATAATGATAAATCACAGGGATGAGATAAGAATAGAATGGGGAGCCCAGATTGAGTGGGCAGAGGAATATGTTCCAGGAAAAGAAAGAAGGTTAGGAGGTAAAATGGTGCTGGTTCTGAGTATGGACTAGAGATCATGGCCTTGACATTTTAGACAATAGATCAGTGTAAGGTTCCAAACAGTAGGGTGATGATTTAGTTTAAGTTTGTAGAGCTGGCTGCTATGTGATGAACAGATTATAGGATGAAGGAATAGAAGCAAGGAGTCCATTTAAGAAGATGTTCATTGCGTAGTCCAGGAGAGAGAAAATGGTGGCTGGGACCAGGGTGACAGAAGTGGAAGTGAAAGTAAGAAGTGCTCATATTTGACAGTTCTAAAGGACAATTTTCAAGGCTCACTGAATGGATGGGGAGGGGGCAAAGACAGTGTTAAAGATGTCTCAAAGCATTCCTTGTCTACTTCAGATGATAAAGAGGGATGTGCTGGGAGAAAGAACTGAATTTGCAAGTAGGTAGACAGTGGTCCTGTGTCCTCAGCTTTCTGTTACTATAATGGCATACCTGAGATGATTAACATATAAAGAGAAACAGTTTATTTCATCTCTCAGTTTAGGAGATTCTAGTCCATGATTTAGTGTCCCCATTGCTTTTGGACCTGTGACAAGGCAGAACACTTCATGGCAGAAAGAGTGCATGGTAGAGCAAAACCACTCACCTCATGGCCAGAAAGTGAAAGAAAGAGAAGGAGATAAGGTTTCTGCAATCCTCTTTAAGGACATGTGTCCAATGACTTGAGGACCTCCCACTAGGTCCCACTTTCAGAAGGTTCCATTACCTCAGAAGCTTTTGACACATGGAGATCAATCATTTAACACATGGCCTTGGTGGGTGGTGGACATTTGAGATCCAAAATAGCAGGTTCAAATGCTGTCTGCCTCATGTACTAGTTGGGCTCATTTAGTCAAGAAGGGGCTTGTGTGACCCCCATTGACAAACAAAGCACAGAGCTGAGAAAAACTGCAAAAGTATTTACTGACATTGATGCTTGAGAAAAGAAAGCTCCAGGGACAAGGGGAGGGGTTATCAGGGCTCCAGTATAGCTTATAGAAAGGAAGAGGCAAGAATGTGGGAAATGAAGTACCAAATCCCTATATGAGAAGAAAAGAGAGAGGAATGATGAGGTAAAGAGGATGCAGGGAGAAAAGCCTGCTATTCTCTTGTTTTTTTCCTCAGCAAACAACTTGCGCATATGTAAAAGACCAATGATAGAAGTCAATGGGGACCTTGGCTAAGCTGCCTCCCCTTTCTTAGCCTCTATTTGGGTATCTGTAGAGTGGATTTGACTAATATCTGTTGAACAGGGCTGTTGAAAGAAGGATCTGCAATGAAGGTTTTAAAAGTGTTTTGAAGGTCTGGAGGTATAGCTCAGTGCTTTTCTTGCATGTACAAGGCCCTGGGTTCAATTCCCATCATTGAAAAAAAAAAAAAAAAAAAAAACCTTTGAGGATGGCTTCTGTTGTAGTAGTCCTGGTCATGCATTCAACTTCTTTTTTTTTTTTCTGCATATGAGATGAGGAATGAGCTAATGGTCACAACCTGAATATACCTGGGCACTGAGTATACACGTATATTCAGGTTGTAACCATTCACTCATTCCTTATCTCTGCCCACCCATCTCCTTACTCCCCAAACACTTCCATTATCTGCCTATTCCTATTCAAGTTTCCTCACCTGGTCCCTGTAAATATAATCCAGGGTCCCAACTGTACATCCTCATTGAATGAGATTCTGTTTTGACTTTCAGGATGTCCTACACATTCTATATTCATCGTAGGATGTCATAGCTCTGTCTTTTCCAGTAATTGTAAGCTTTTTTTCAGTCTATATTTATAACCTTAAACCTACCAAGACACATATCCAGGACCTATCACAAGTGGATAAGAGTACAAGGACCAAATAATCCCCAAACTTCAGTTATTTGTTTGTCACTTTTGAGGTTTTTGCCATGTTCACTAATCCATGATTTTTACCACATTCATAAATCTCTTTTTCCTAAGCCTTCACTCCTAGCCTTTCCCATTTCCTCAGAGATTATTATTTCCTAAGTCCTCTTTTCTGGCCTCAAGTTGGTCTCCCTAGAGGCATCCTGCCACATTCCACAGTGAGCTAAAAAGCCCATGTGAAGGTCACGCCATCCTGTGATTTCTGTATATAATTATGTCTCTTTTGCTAGGCTAGAAGAGCTTGATGTAATAGTTTGACAGACGTTTATAGAATTGTTGAAAGAAACTGAAGAGACCCTTGAAAGCTAGGGGCTCAGCAGGAGGGTTCCTAGTAAGAGTAACATTCTCTGTAGTTACTATTATGCCCTTCCCCTTTCTGTTTCTGGCTAACTCTTCTCTATTCTGCATGACTCAGTCCCAAGTGTCACTTCCTCTGGGAAGTATCTCCAGCCCATTCAGACTGAAGAAGTTTTTCTCTGATACTCCCTGAACATTGTTGATCCTTCTCTGAATTGTCATGACCTGTGGATGTGTTGGTCACCCCTCCTAGATGGTAACTTACACCTCTTTTCCCCAACACTAGTATAGAGCCTGGCTAAGAAGATCCCTGGGAACTGTTGACAGAATTACTACATGACTGGGTGGGTGAGCTTGTGGATGGATGGCCAGATGGAACTCACTTTAGATCTCTTGCCCCAAAGTCAGAAAGCTCTGCTTCAGTCTGCCAGGCTGAAGTTCTAGCTGGACACACAGCTGTGTTTTATGGATATGGCTATGACAGACATCCCCTGTCCTCATGAGTGCGAGTCTAATGACATCAGCACTGAGCAGTGCCAGACTCGCCTGAGTAAATGAAGTCACTTAAGGCTGTCTAGCTTGGGCAGAGTTGATTCCAAGAGCTGTAGCTCTTGTTCACTGCCACGTTGTTGGAGCTGGAACAGGCTGCTGAGCCAGCACCACCTGCCCCTTGTCACTTATCCCGCAGGGCTGCAGCACGAGTGGCAAGCAGCTGCGTGTGCGTGCGCGAGAACGAGAGTGCGCATGCGCATGGATTTACTGTGGGACTTGGAAGAAGCCCTCTCATTGGCTGCTGAGGGTCCCAGTTTCAGTCTGTGAATCTCTGGGCTGCTAGCTCTTCCCTCCCCTGGGAAGGCAAGGCAGGCAAGGGAGGGGAGAGTGGAGTGAGGCTTCAGGTGTGTCTGACAAGAAAGCAGGTACGCGCATTGGGCGTTCCTGAGGCATTTGGCTGTGCTAGTTCCAAACCTGCAGCCTGGCAGCCTTGTGCTCTGCCCAAATTTCTCCAGGTTTCTATCAGGACCAGAGCCCAGAGCCCATTGGCAGCTGTCACTTACAGAACTGGATCCGTCCCCCAGTGGAACAGGGAGCTGTGTCACTTAGAATTCCTGGGTAGCACATTCCTTCACTGGTCCCTGTCACACTCCCGGATTAGGCTCTGTTATTGGCCCCTCGCTCCTCCAAGCTTCTGCAGACCGAGCAAGGGAGCGGCGGCAGGAATGACAGCGCTGAGAGCAGAGGCAGCCAGGGACGGTGAGGGCGGGCAATTCAGTTCGTGGAGGGTGCCCAGGCTGGCTCTGCATGCAGAGGCATATGAGGAGGGGTCTACACTCGGGGCTCGCTAGGGTTCCTTTTGGAACCTGGGCTGCTCGACCTGAGTGAAGCACTGAGCAGGGGGGAGGGGAAAAGGGAGGGGAAGAGAGAAAGAGAGGGGGAGAGAGAGAGAGACTGACTGAGAGACTGACTGAATGACTGACTGAGAGAAGCTCCTAGCAGGCTTTAGTCCAAGGGAGAGGATCAGGTCTGGACAATTCTGAGGCAGTGGCACAAGTAGGATTTAGAAGAGCCATGTGTGAGAGAAGCAAAGCTGAGGTGA